TATGTCCTCTGATTAAATAGAATAAATAGAGCTAATGGTCATTCAGATGTGTTGAGAGACACATTGACCTTCCTGTAAAGCACTCCAACATCCTGTATAAACAAGCTATATTCTTGAACATATACACAATCCTCAAAATAAAAGCAGAAAATGTGTAGTATAGACACAAGATAGTCTGTGCCCTGAATGTTTATTCTCTAAAGTAATCATGCACCGGGAAAGTGCACTCCACTGAGCATCAAAGCCTTCAAAATTCTAAAGCTAGTTTTTATAACCAAAAGAAAATGACTATTTAGAAAAGGCAACTCAGATCCTCTGGCTATCACAGCAGATATGAATAACGTGCTGACCTCAAATTGCTTATTTTACTCTCATAAAACAAAACAACAACAAAGAGAAGGGGAAGGAAGATGTAAAGCAATGAAAGCAATATGGGGCAAATATGCTATAACTTCTAGAATTGCTAGCAAAATACTCCAAGTTCATAGAGTTTGACAGAAAATCAGAATGCATTTTAGCAGGTCAGTGAAGTGGGTGAGGTTGCAAGGTGCCAACAATTCACGGTTAGGAAAGATCAGAATACACATTTTAAAAAAATATCATAGTGAGTTCCCTCCTGTTTCTTGAGCAGGTACATATTTCAAGACTTAGGGCCCCTCAGGGGCCTGCTTCTTTAATAAATCTTATAAAAGCTGAGCCACAGAGGTGACCCAAGCTCCTCTGACACTACCAACTGCAAACTGAAAATAAGATTTTAACAGAAGAAAAGCAATGCTATGTCAGACAAAGGTCACAAGAATGAGTAGTCTTCCTCCAAGAGTGGCAATGTATACTTTTAAGGTCAAACCCTAATCCTCCCAAAGTGGAACCCTTCTACCTCCCAGCTAATTTTGGTCTACAGACTTCCTGACTTGGATGAGGTTCTGATGAATTTAGCAATTCTTGACAGAGACTGCTTTTCTTTAACTCGTTTCTTGAACTAATCCAAACTTACAGCATCCATAGCAACTTCTTCTGGGGCATTGCATAGCTCAATTATTTTTAGCACAGGGAACCCTGAATTTCTCTTTGTTTTCAAATTGGCTCTTATTACTATCACTTGATTTGCTTCATTCTTGTATCAAGATAGTGTGAAGAACTGATCTCTGTTTACAGTCTGCCCCAACTTTTCTATAATTACTGTTATCTATAAACACTAGAGAAGTACTAGTTTCATAGAAATGTTTCATTGATGGTACCATGAATTTATATCCCTATTCCCTCTCCCACACAGAATTAAAAAGTGTGAAGAGGCAAGAACATGAAAGGAGCCAAGCCAACAGCGAAGTAACATTTATTCCAGTTGATGATCCAGCTTCTGCCAATTAAACAAAGGCAGATGAATTGTTTTTATCTCCCTGAAATACTACACATTTCCAAACAGAGCTCGTGAAAAAAAAAAAGAGTATGTCAAGGTATGGTGTACCAAGAGGGACCACACAATTCTCAGAAAAGACAGAAACAGGGATGCAAGTCAAAGCACTACTGGATTTCAGCAGAACAGGTACTATCCAAGTGCTAGAAGAGAGTAAGCCATCTGTAACTGGCAAATGAAAATAGCCTCCCCAGCAACAGATCTCTAAAACATGTTTGAAAGGAAGAAAAACAGTACCAGGATCCAGTGTTTCTGAAGAACAGGAGAAAGTTGCAAGTGCATTCACAGAACTCTCCAGTATCCCTGGAAAAATGAAATGGATAGGAACTTTCTTGAAGCCTTTGAGTAATTACAAAATGAAAAAAAAAAAAAAAGCGAAGAAATAGTTTTACAAGATGCATCTGGCAGGCAGCACGATGCATTGGTCCCAAGAATACAAAAGTCTTCTCATTAACTAAAGAAATTCCCCATGAAATCTTAAGAGAAAAGGGAAATGAGAGCTTCTAAAAACTTTCTTCCTTAATCCAAACAGATCAGGAGTCCATTTTCTCACCTATCCTAGTAACTGGATCTCAGGACCTGGCATACAAAACATACAGGTTCTTCTCCATGTGACAGCTGGGAATAAGCATCCACTTGCAGTTAGGGTTTGTTAGCCTTTCTTTCACCTTCACTGTAGTTTAGCACTCCTATTAGATGCTCCTAGTCACCTTATCTGCTCTTCTTGTCTGCCTCTGCTTATCACTCCAGTTACTACAATTTTCAAGTCCTCTACCTTTTTGGCAGAAACAATGGTGATAACCTTTCATCTACAAATTTCTCAGTCAGGAACCATTAGAAGTCCCTAAACACTAAAAACACTTCCTCTCTCAAATTATTATGTATTTCTATAATAGAATGAATCAAAATTCAAATTGCCCATGGCTAGGTTACAAACAGACTAACTATATCATTAATATTCTCAAGCTTTTGAACTTCAGCTTTAATCCTCTGGATTTCAAGGAAAACATTCAAAATCGATGAGAACAGGAAAGCTTGGAAAGAAAACTTAAGGACAGAAAACTGATTGGCAGGTAAATGCTGTTCTAATAGTGTAGGTATTTCTGGAGAGGGATTAAATGCTATTGCACTATTGGCAATTAACTAACAAAAGATAGAAAAGAAACTTTCTGGTGGTCCTATTAAGCACAAAAGAAAGTAAAGGAAAAACTGAAAAACAGTACTCTGTGGCACTCAGTACTCCATTAATATTTCAGGTGATCACTTCTTCACCCTAACTATTGAAATAGCTGTAAATCACTTATATATTTCATTCTTCAAGGTAACATATCACAAAGTTTACAATACCCGTACTAGTAATTTACAGGTATTGTATTGTAAAATTCTAACTTAGATTGGATATGAGCTTTCTCACTACATTTATATAAAGTTGAGTGGAATACAATGTCTATGAAGGCAGACAATTAATGAAACAGAAGTTTCTTGAAAAAAGAAATTGTGTAAGCAAATACATATTTCCTCTGCCATAAAATGAAAATCTCACCAATTTTACAAACAGTGATGTTGTCTTGTTTCAGCACACTAGTTAAGTCTTTCACACATCTCTTACAGACTTTGAAAAAGAGGATAAGGATATCATAAAGAAATTACAAAACACTATTTCTGACAAGAAGCCTTTGCTTTGATCTCATAATAAAAACTGAAGTTGTGAAAGAAGTTTACATACTGATTTTAAGTTGTTAAGACATTTATTTCTTCCTTTAGTCAAGCCTGGTACAAGTATTTTTCTTGGTTCTGTAGAGTTAATTTTCATCTGTCCATCTTATTGCTTTACTTCCATTGAGGAATATATAAAAATGTCTCAGGCTACCACAGAAAGGTTCACAAAATAAATGAGGCAGTACTTTCTCCTTACCAATCTTACTTTCACTACAGTAAAGCATCACCCTTCTGATCACTGTTCTCTCTCTCATTCTCAGTGCCCATATTACTACGTATCAGCCTGGGAAAAATTTAGCAGTTATTACACATAACAAAACAACATAAATTGTAACAAATGCCTATCCTAAGAAGGGTTTGTTTTATCTTTATTCGATTATGTAATTAAATCCCGATACAAATGAAGAGTTACTATGGAACATGCATTTATTTTTGGGCTGTGAACATCAGCTTTATTGAACTAAAATATGAAAATAAAATAATATTGTAACCATAATATGATCTAAGATAATTTTGGCTAGCCTTTAAGGTTCTTCATTAAGTAGCAGTTTTGGAAAAATTAACATTTCCAACTACCTTTACAAAAAAATATCAACAAGAAAATAAAAATCCTACAAAACTTGAAGTTGGTTAAGTAAAGACACAGTAAGACAAAGTCTAGATGATTGCTCAGTACCTATCCTATTTATCCTTATGTGACTAGAGAGATACTGGGCAGATCATTTCACAAACCATCAAAACATGGAGGAGAATAGAAAGCAGTGTATCTGTAACTTTCAGCAAAGCAAAAGCTTCCACAGCAGAAAGATTTATATCAAAATAAATACAGTATTACTTGAATACAATTCTGATTTACTATTTAAATCCACACAATTTGCAGAGCCTGAGAACTATACCAATCAACTATTTTAACAGTTTTACCCATCCTTTTCAACCTTGCAAATGATCATCTACAAGCCTAGGCCTCACACGTGTAAGGGAAAAAACAGGGGGCACATGCTGGGCACAGTAAAAAAATTAAGTCCTAATTAGTACTGCTATATATTGTGCTAAGTTCCTGGTTCCATCCAGCCTCTGTTATACAGCCTTGCACTTGGGTAGAGTGCCAACAGTCTGTAACAAGGGTGCACACTGTGCCAACAGATAACACTCAGAGACACAGTTTTAGGGATGAAAGCTGTGTTCAGGTCAGTACCAATGTTTCTCCAATAAACTGGAGCTTTCAGGGAGCTAAATTAGGGCAACTTAAGAGGATGCTTTCCGCAGAGCTGTGCAGTAGTGACTAGTGCTACACTGACATTAGGCACATTTACAGGACAGACTTTCTTTCAAGAAGTAAAAATGTATGGTTCTAGCCCCAAACAGAGAAGACAGAAAAAAACACATTGAAGAAAACTACAGTCATATCCATTTGTTTCCAAGTAGTCCTATGTAGACATGCAACATTCTAAATTCCCTCCTACATGGTGTTTCTGCTCAGTATATTAGTAAGAGACTTGCACATGGACTCACAATATGCTTAGCATATGAGATGGTAAGGTTCTTTGCTATCCCTTGCCAGGTGGTGGCAGTTACTAAAGCTAGAGCTACAGGTTTCTGCTAGCCCTATTAGTCAAGTGCATAACGACGAATGATATACCTAACATAGAAGTATCAGCAAACAACCTTACAGTAAACAGTTACAAAACTGTTTTTACTGCTTTGACTACATTCTCCCTAATCAGGAATAACCCTGAAAGGAAATGTTCCCATGTATTTCACTAATTGTTTCAAAGATATCCTCATAAAAGTTCAAACCATTTTCAAGCTACTCCGCATTCTTGCAGCATCAGTATTTACATCATTTTATTTCTGGTTCTTACCTTGTTTCCCATGGGCTCCCAATTGTATTTCCAGGTCCCAGTACAGAACACATGTACTTGCAACAGTGGTAGTTACTCCTTCCTTTTTATCGTTGTAAGTGACTTCTTCCACAATTAGTCCAAACACATCTTACTGTATTGTGCTCACAGCTCTCCATCCTGTTCTGCATTGGCCTGTGTTGTACTAGGAGAACATCCACAGTCGAGGACTCACAAGATGTGGAGCACAACCCACGGTATTTGGTCAAGGTTCGGATTCTTCCACGAAGAAACAAGGAGTACCACAAAGACCAAAATCTAAGGAAGCAGAATCATAAAGCCTGATTAGATCTCCAGTCTTGGATTCTGCAGGCAGTACAGACATCCCTCAGAAGAATAGCAAAAAGTCTTTAAGCTTCAAGGATGAGTTTTTCCTGATCCTTTTCCTCCTCTCTGAATCAAGAGTGATTTGTTTGTGCCTCTTGTATCACAGTTTCTATAAATGTTCTCCTGGACAGCCCTTCTCCCTGCTACTCAGTAAGGCTGTATGGGATACACAGCTGGTTCTCTTGGCTCTCAGAGACAGGTGAGTGCTAATAAGGCCACATTAGACTTTGGGAGAGAGAGATTGCCTGTTCTTTCACAGGTGCTTTCAGGCTCAGCTGAAGTGGCAGTACCCTGGCAATAACTTAGATGTTGCAGCTACTCTCTTCTACATAGAAAATTATTATCTCAAACACTACTATGTATCAGCTGTAAGCTACTGGCTTCCTAAAGATCAACATTTAAAAAACAACAATACAATAGCAATGCCAGTTGTTGTGATTTTGTTTCTAAACTAATTTATAACATACAAAAATTTGATACAAAACAACTGCAGGATAAGTTACTTGTTTGTGTTTATAGTTAAAATGAAGGGACTTCTGTTCACCACAGGTAGGTAGGTCTGGAGAGAACTATTTTCCTTGCTTCTCAGCCTAGCTCACATTCTAGAGATAGGCAGATACTTGCTGAGATAAACTGGAGCAGCTTCAGTGGAGCCAGACTATTTTTACAGGTACAGGAAATGTCTCACAAGATCCTCTGAAGAAACCTTCAACTGTCTCTTCAGTTCATCTACTGATAACTCCTTGAAAGAATACACTGTCATGTACTACCAGTCTCATATTGTAGAGATAGAAATGAATATTGAAAAAAATCAGTAATTCACTGAGAAACTGCAGTACAACTTTTACTGAGGAAAAAGAAGAATGTCAACCAGAATAAAAAATGCTGTGTAGTGATGTGTTCTTACTACAGCTTTGTTTTTACACACACTAACATCAAATTGTATGGATCCCACTTAGTACAAGACTCTAGGACTGTAGGTATTGCAGTTTCTGAAGCGTTACAGTATGATCTACTCTAGCTACGGGAAATGAATAACCTTTTCAATTTCACAGCAGATTATATGTGGCGTACCTACTAAAACAACTTGTCTCTTTATTGTTGCTTCTAATAACTCAATACAAAACCTGCACAATTTATGATTAAGATGCACTATTACAGTGATCAAGCTCTATGATTCTCATTATCAAACCATATTGTACCAGTACAGTTTCTACAACTTATTGAAATTTTACTGAGTACGATCCAGCTCATATTCAAACCTTCAACTGCTATGAATAGTTTCACACATGACATCTTAATGCTAAAAAATGGATTGCCAGACATTTAGCTTGGCCTTCCTCACAAGTGATCTACACAATTTCATTTAATATTCCTGCACCAAAATCGTAATTCCAGTTGAGCTCTCTGTCACAACAGACAAACCCTCCAGTCTTTCTGGAGGGTAAGTCACTTGGGGGGCCTGAAAGGATCTTCTGAAAAAGCCATCTTAATCACCAAAGACTCAAGATTATTGGTAACATCTGTCCAGCCCACAGATTTCCAACCTTTGAAATCCAAATTGCTCACATTATTTATTCTTCTCTCAAACTGCTCATCACCTGTTCTGTCAATTCTTTATTATATATATCAAACATCTACACTACTATAGTTATGAGTATTATCTGGATAAATTTTGTACATACTAGCACATACTAGTTCCAGTCTTGTTAGTTCTCCCTGACGCTTGTAAAGAGCATTTCAGATGTGAAATATTTTTGTGATACATCTCGATACATGAACGTCACCAATTCTAGACAGAATGGGAGCATTAAATAAACTAACTAGCTCTCATCTAGCTAACTTTATCTTTCAGTCAGCATTTGTCTGAGCGGGGTCATTGCAAAGGCTGTGATGAGGTCTCTTGTTCAAGAATAAAGCAACATGTAAACTTGCAATTCTTTCACATATTGTTTTCTTTTGTAGGGAGTCATTTTATGTTGTACTCACACTGCCACTGAAGATGAGCTAGCAGCACTCCAAAATGAAATGGACAAGCAGGTCACACCTCTTCAAGCTGTTACTCCAGATTTAGATGTCTCTGTCTCATCTACAATTTCTGCAAGTCTCTTTCTAACCCAAAGCCACTAAGAATTTACTTTGAAAAAGCAAATCAAAACTGAGCATATGTCTGAAGTGCAGAAAGGTTAGGCTAGTATTGACTAATACATCTGCACAGAACGGAATTAACATGTTGGCAAGGTACTGTGTCTCTGCTCACAGGTCCTGCATTTCATGAGGGCTTACTAACTATAGTGCAATGCTAGCTTGAAGTACTCTGCAGCATGTATCCCAGTGATCCTGAATGCCAGCACAATCAGATCAAATCCCCGTTTGTTGCCACAAACAAATTCAAATTTGTAAGTTCACTAGCATCACTTTACTAAAATAGTTCTTTATGAAAGAGAAGTAACTGCATGAAATTTGTTTGCTACACTGGAAGGATTAACTCATTAGGGGAGGGTCACAGTACATCATAAGAAAAATTAACTTGAAATTCCACTTTTTTTTTTTTTTTTTTTTTTTTCAAGTCAGATATGCATGATCTGACCAACACCAGAGAAGAATAACAAGAATTCCCACAGTAACTAAAACTCTTACGGTTTTTAAATTGTTGGCATTGAAAGCTTCTTTGTGTATGTGTAATTCTTGCTGACTATCTATCCTTTCTTTTAGCAATAATTTTCCATTTTGCTTTTAGATATGTGAGAGCTAGGGATCTACTAGAGTGGAATGAAAAAATATACTTTATCTGAACTTCATTTATGTATGTGTAATGTCAGTAGCTTGGACAGCAGGCATGCAAGGCAAGAATAAAAGTTTCCTGAAGTATTTAGATACTTCATGTTATTCTTCCCTGATGAATATTCTGATCTAATGAAGTTTGGATTAAATTGTCCTATTTATCAGAGAAATTATTAACGATCTTCAATACGTAGCATTAATAATGATTTACTAATGTCTCCTTCATCAAAACATAGTTTTTTATTATCAATTAACACTTGAGACAAAGTCTTATCTTTGCATTCTCTATTAACAGTCAGTTTCCTCACAGAATGATTTTTGGTGTGAGTCTAAACAAAACTAATTTAATGTCTATCTGGTATGTTCTGCAATTGTTTCCGACCAAACATTCTGTATGTCTTGTCCAACAGTACCTGTGGATAATTCAGGGTAATCTATGTGTGCTACAGCGATACATACGTAAGCAAAGACATTCTTATTTAGAGCAGAAAGCTTTTAAGGACTTTCACCTCCACTTCTGAGACTTAAAAGCATTATCATACAACTCAAGACTCTCACAAATGGTGAGAATTGACCCGAAGAGTTACCTAGATGATAAAGGAGATCGATGCCTGGCTGCTGCAGTAGCCATGGGGTTCTCTATACACTTTTAAAATTCTTATGTAATTATTCTACATGAAATTTGCCTTCTTTGAGGATGTTAGCAATGATACCATACTGCATCAGACTATTAGTCATAGTCTGAGTACTGTCTCCTGCAAATCTTTCCCCATTATTGCCTGTAGCAATAGATGATGGGATTAGACTACCCTTAGGCAAAATGTAGTACAAAAATCATGTAGGCCCTTGAACTCAGATTATTCCCACAGCACTCAAACTCCGGATTAAAGGAGAGCCTTTAAGTATATTTGTTTCTCTCTAATGAAGTACACACCCTTCTCTGTATCATCTACTTTGAAATATCCATCTGCCAGCCACATACCCTCACATACTAAATCCTCAGAGATAGCTTGGAAAATGGAACACTGAGCGACATATGGAAGTGTGTTTTTAGTACAACATCTGTGTAGGAGCACATTCCCATATACCTCACCAGCATCCAATCTAGCTTTGGCAGGGCCTATATATTACCATCGGTACCTAACATTTTTTCTGCTGTGGAAAACTACAAAGTTGAGTTACTCTTCTACAGGTCTTACCAGCAGCACAGTTCTGTATAAATTTGTGTCACACAGTAATGGAAAGTTTATACTGGAAGTGTAGCATCTTCACCATTCCTATAAAGTTAACACTATACACTAGACCTCGCACTTTCACCTTGCCTTTCAGGTTTCTTTATTTTTTTCTGCATAAATAAATCTTGACTAAATAATCATATTAAAAATAATTTACTAACTTAATCTTCAGATTACTTTTACAAAACATTAAGTTGCTTATGTCTATCTCTTTCTAGCCTGAAGTGTAAATCTTTCTCATAGTATTTTCTGCAGTAACGAGATGTTCAGTCAATACTTAAATCCTTCTGGAAATTAATTTTGAGAGATACGTGCTTTCTCACCTTGATTGCCTCAGTAAAGTCTTTAGCTGCATTGAGCAGAGGCTTATAACTCCTCTCCAAGAGTTTTCCTTTTTGCTCCTGGTTATTAAATAGTGCTGAATTTTATTTGTATTTCATCAGAGTTCTGAGTGCCCTGATTCCATGTCTTATCCCTTGTAAACAGCTTCTAGTTGACTTCTGTTTTATTTTGAAGACCCAGAATACTCAAGTCTTCAGAGGAAAGGGTGTTCTGAAATGGCAGTTTATGAAAGGCTACTGAGAATATCACAGGTTTCTTCAACAATTTATTAAAAGAGTTAGGTAACCACTTAACATAGAGAATTTTTTTTCTTTGTCTTCCCCCTGCTAACAGTATCTGACTATAGTAACAACAGTAACTAAGAGCAATTGTTGATTGATAGCATTTCTAAAAAGCTACTACCAAAAACTCAACTTCTTTGCAATGGAAAGTTACAATCCATCAAGTCAATGTCAGGAAATAATTGTTGTACAGCAGTATTCATGTGGCAGGTATGAATGTGCATTCTGGAAGTACTTCAAGAAATAATTAGCAACTTAACTGAAGCCCTGACAAAAAAACAGTAAAGTG